CTTCCACCCTGACTGCCCCGAGCCTCACTTACCCTGCCTCTGCTGAGCTGCCCCCGATGAAGCCATAGCGGTCAGCCTGGCGGTATGGGCCGGGTCCGCTCAGCTCCGAGTCAGACCCCAAGGAGCTCGAGTCGTCTTGCACCTCAGAAGGCTGCCCCAGCTCCTCTCCAAGGGCGTGGGCCATGGCGCCCAGCACCGCCAAGGCCACAGGCTGCAGAGACGCGAGGACAGACACCGGGAGGGGCCACTCCCCAGGTCCCCAGTGCTGGGGCCAGGCTGTTGGGGTGGGGGAAGGGAAAGTTTCAGGGTCTGTCACCAAGCCTCCCACTGGTAGATGGGAGATGGTGGGGGGCAGAGAGGAGCCCTAAAGCCACAACAGGCCAGGCCTGGGCATCCAGCCCCAGGCCCGGCCCCGTCCCCACTGCGACCCAGCTCACCTCAAACGGCACCTCACCTCCTCCTCCCACTTCCTCCTCACAGCGACAGGCTGGGGGCCCCTCCCAAGCGTGCGTGTGTGTTGGGGGGAGTGTCACCCCTTCCTCTCAGCGTTTCTTCCTGCCCGCCCTGGTGCCCCAGAACCACCAGCTCCTCCTGTCCTCTCCCAGGCCAGTGGTTGCCATGGAGATGCTGTGATGGATGTGTTGACAGTTCCAAGCTGCCTCAACCCAGGGTACCAGCCTAACAATTCTTAAGGATTCAACATTTGCTCTTTACAACATGGAGCCAGGCGCAGTCCTGATGGGACTTGGCATGCACCCTGGGTCCTCTGAGCTGCCCGAGCATGAGGGGGTGGCAGTCCCTTGCTAGCTCTGAGCCTGTTTCCTTGGAGGACTGAGTCCCCAGCGTCCGAGGAGATGGTTGTGACCGTGTTTTCTGCAGCACCCTCCCACCTAGGGCAGGGGTGAGCAAGGCAGAAACCGCCTTGCGGAGAAAAACAACTTCCACTCTGCTTCCGGTCCCTGTGAACCTAAACGAAGTGGGCGGGACCTCAGAGAGAGGCGGGACCAGAATCTGCCCCGCCCCTGCAGCTCCGCCCCGTCAGCCGAAGCTCCGCCTCCCGCGCCGCAGCGCCGCTCGTCCGGAGGGGGCGCCCGAGCGCCGGGTGGGACGGCCGGGGTCTGGCTGAGGGGCGCGGCCTCTGGAGAGGCGGGATCAGGCCCGGCCCCGCCCCGCCGACCGAGGCTCCGCCTCCCGCGCCGCTGCGTCGCTCGTCCGGAGGAGGCGCCCGAGCGCGGGGTGCGGCGGGAAGGCGGGGCGCTCGGCCGGCCGGGGGCGGCCCGGGGCGGGCGGAAGCAGAGCCTGGCCGGAAGGAGGCGGCTGCGGGAGGGCGGGAGGCCGGAGCGGGCCCGGAGCTGCTGGGCCGGAGCGGCGGCGCCGCCATGTCCGACAGCGAGAGGCTCAACCTGGACTCGATCATCGGGCGCCTGCTGGAAGGTAGGCGGGGGCGGAGGGAGGGCCGCGCCTGCCGCGTCCCGGGGACCTTCCAATTCGCAGGGTCCCGAGGGGCCCCCGGCCCGGAAGTGGCGCGCGGGCGAGCCTGCCCCTCCCGGGCCAGTTTGCACTGGGCGGGGACGGGGCGCCGCGAGGTCCCGTGGCCACAGACGCCCCCGGGAGGTGGGGGGTCCGCTCCGGGCTTTGGGGCGCGCCCTCGTGGGGTTGGGTTACGGCCCCCGCTCCCACGCGCACCGCTGTTCCCCCGTGAGGGGCTGGGGTCCCACTTGGGGAGACCCGAGGCGGCGCCCAAGGAAGGCGCCGTGCCGGCTGCCTACCCCCAGCCCCCAATCCCAGGAGGCCCGGGCGCCCCCGCAGGTGCCTGTGTGTGAGCAGGGGCGAAGGTTGCCCGAGTCACCTGCCTCCTGTTCTGGGGTTGGGGTGCTTAACCCCATGCTGGGGTCCCCCCAGTGCAGGGCTCACGGTCACCCCCTCCTCACCTGTCCTGGGGTTGGGGTGCTCAACCCTATGCTGCCCCCCACCCCCAGTGCAGGGCTCACGGTCACCCCCTCCTCACCTGTCCTGGGGTTGGGGTGCTCAACCCTATGCCACCTCCCCCCCCCCAGTGCAGGGCCCACAGTCACCCCCCACCTCACCTGTCCTGGGGTTGGGGTGCTTAACCCCATGCTGGGGTCCCCCCAGTGCAGGGCTCACGGTCACCCCCTCCTCACCTCCTGTCCTGGGGTTGGGGTGCTCAACCCTTTGCCAGCCCCCTCCCCAGTGCAGGGCCCACAGTCACCCCCTCCTCACCTGTCCTGGGGTTGGGGTGCTCAACCCTTTGCCGCTCCCCCCTGCCCCCAGTGCAGGGCTCACAGTCACCCCCTCCTCACCTGACCTGGGGTTGGGGTGCTCAACCCTATCCTGGGGTCCCCCCAGTGCAGGGCTCACGGTCACCCCCTCCTCACCTCCTTCCTGGGGTTGGGGTGCTCAACCCTATCACGGTCATCCCCTCCTCATCTCCTGTCCTGGGGTTGGGGTGCTCAACCCTATGCTGCCCCCCACCCCCAGTGCAGGGCTCACGGCCTGGAAAGAATGTGCAGCTGACGGAGAACGAGATCCGGGGTCTGTGCCTCAAATCCCGGGAGATCTTCCTGAGCCAGCCCATTCTGCTGGAGCTGGAGGCGCCCCTCAAGATCTGCGGTGAGCTCCTTGCCGGTCCCCGCGCTCCTGCACCGCGCCCAGCCCCGCACTGCCGCTCACTGGGCTCTCCCGCCCGCAGGGGACATCCACGGGCAGTACTACGACCTGCTGCGGCTCTTCGAGTACGGAGGCTTTCCCCCTGAGAGCAACTACCTGTTCCTGGGCGACTACGTGGACCGGGGCAAACAGTCACTGGAGACCATCTGCCTGCTGCTGGCCTACAAGATCAAGTACCCCGAGAACTTCTTCCTTCTGAGGGGCAACCACGAGTGCGCCAGCATCAACCGCATCTACGGCTTCTACGATGAGTGTGAGTAGCCCTGGGGAACCCACCTTGCCGAGCCACCATGGCCTTGCTGCCGTGCTGCCCTTCTCCCCAGGCAATGCCTGTCTGTGCAGCCTACCCCCTGGTATAGGGAGATGGGCAGATGCCTCCTGCAAGGCTTCTGGGCGTGCATAGCTTGGGTGTTTTGGAAGCAGGGATAAGCCAGGCCTGGCCTTGGGGGCTCCGATCCCAGGGTGTGGGTGCCCGGGGTTAGGTTGTTTAGCAGGTGGACTGCCGTGCTGAGGACAGGGCTGTGACCACGTCCCTCTAACAGGCAAGCGGCGCTACAACATCAAGCTGTGGAAGACCTTCACCGACTGCTTCAACTGCCTGCCCATCGCAGCCATCGTGGACGAGAAGATCTTCTGCTGCCATGGAGGTGAGGCCAGAGGGGCCAAGGCTGCCAGCTGTGGGATGTGTCCTCCTGTCCCTGCCAGGGCCTGCCTTTGGCATCCTGTGTGGAGCACACTAGCCCTGTGAGGGTGGCCATTGGGGCCAGGACATGCTGTGTGGCCCCAGGAAGGGCGAGGCTGACACGGCCTTCCAAGAGGAGCAGGCCTTGTTTGCTTACTTGTAAAAGATGTATTTCTTGCGAAGGCTGAGTTACAAAGAAATCCTCCATCTGCTGGTTTACTTCCAACACAGCCACGATGGCTGGGCCGGCCAGGCCTGGCCAAAGGTGGGAGCCAGGAACCTCTTCAGGTCTCATACTTGGGCCTCCTTCTGCTGCTTTCCCAGGCACATCAGCAGGAGTTGGGTGGAGCAGCAGTGGGGACCCCAGCCCCGGGAAGGCAGGGGCCTGAGGCCCTGACTCTGTCCACCCCCTAGGCTTGTCCCCCGACCTGCAGTCCATGGAGCAGATCCGGCGCATCATGCGGCCCACAGACGTGCCCGACCAGGGCCTGCTCTGCGACCTGCTGTGGTCCGACCCGGACAAGGACGTGCAGGGCTGGGGCGAGAATGACCGCGGGGTCTCCTTTACCTTCGGGGCCGAGGTGGTGGCCAAGTTCCTGCACAAGCATGACCTCGACCTCATCTGCCGCGCGCACCAGGTGGGCGGGAATGGATGGGGTTCTGGGTGGGCCTGAGCAGGGCAGCAAGCATCACAGCCATGGGACTGACCGCCCTCATCCACAGGTGGTAGAGGACGGCTACGAGTTCTTTGCCAAGCGGCAGCTGGTGACCCTGTTCTCAGCTCCCAACTACTGCGGCGAGTTTGACAACGCAGGCGCCATGATGAGTGTGGACGAGACCCTCATGTGCTCCTTCCAGGTGTGAATGAGGAAGGAGGGGGCCCCGGGCAGGCTGGGGGGGGGGCCCCGGGCAGGCTGGGAGCGGCCCACAAGCCTGACCTCTTGTGTCTTGCAGATCCTGAAGCCCGCAGACAAGAACAAGGGCAAGTATGGGCAGTTCAGCGGCCTGAACCCCGGAGGCCGGCCCATCACCCCACCACGCAACTCTGCCAAAGCCAAGAAGTAGCCTCTGCGTGCGGCCCCCGCCCCCAATGGCCTCCAAGCACGGCCCCGCCCCCGACGATGGATGGATTGTACAGGAAGTAGGCAGCCCAGGGCTGCCCACCACGGGGAGCCCGGAACCCTGGTGTATTTTTTTTTTTTTTTTTAATGAATCAATAGCAGCATCCGATCCCCAGGGTTCCTTTGCCTGCACCTGCAGTGGCTGCAAGCAGGGTCCTGGGGCTAAGGCTGCAGCTCAGGGCAACAGTAGGCCAGGTCACAGGGTTCCAGTTTTGCTGGGCTGCAAGGCTGGTGGTCACATCCTGGGGCAACCTGTCTGGTCTCTTAAATAAAGGTCGAAGCTGGATTCTCGCCACGGCCTCTGTCTCCCTTGTTCCAAACTAAGCCTGGCCTGCTGCCAGGAAACCCAGCTTCACCAGATGCAGGTCCAACCATGACAGCCTCTGCCACACACTTGGGTTCAGAGGTTCTTAGAATTCCAACCCAGAGTGGGAGCATTAGGGAAAGCCCTGGACACCCCCCAAGGTGTGGCTGGGATGCAGTGGCACCCACTGGGCTCTTGTCTAAGGGGTTCCAGCTCAAGACAGGCAGGCAGCAGCTTGGTGTCCAGCCCGGCTCTGGCACAGCCCCTCACTGCCCTGGTCAGCCCTCCCCATCGCTGTCTTCTGCCAGCACAGGGCTGGGGCCCTGGGGCGAGTGTGCAGGGGTCAGGATGGAGCCGAAGAACAGGGAGCGGAACTGGAAGAACAGGAAGCTGTGTGAGCCCTGGAAGCTGCTCCCCTCCCTGCCCCTGCCCATGCCCATGCCCCTGCCCCTACCTTCTTGGGTGGGGGGGTCCCAGGTACAGTACTAGGCTCAGCTTCATCACCGTCCTCCTCAGAGGACCACACAGGGCTGTCGGGACGCTGAGGACCAGGGGAAACGGAGATGGAGGGCAGCACCCGTGAGCCCTCACTGCCTACGGTGGTTTCCATGGCGATCATGTAGGCGTCCATGTCATCGCTGGTGAAGTCCTCCTGGTGGGGAGTGCTGTGGGCAGAGGTGGCATCCACAAGTGATGGAGGGGAGGGCAGATGTGGGCACAGTCCTCCCCTGGGGGCTTCCCACCCAGAGCACTTTGGGGACCTCACGGTTGCTAAGGTGGGAGATGCAGCCAGGGCTGCTAAGGTGGGAGATGCAGCCAGGGCTAAGTGGCCACTTCCTGAGGAGGTGGGTCGGGCATCTGTCTGGAGGGTGGGTGTTGGGGAGGTGCGTGGGAGGCATTCCAGGTGCTAGCTTAGCCCTGCAGGAGGAGGGGAGCAGCAAGCTGGTCACCAGGGGCCACTCCCCCACCTCCTCCCTGTGGGACAGGAACTGGAAAGTAGGGGTGCCCAGGGACTTGCTGGGCGGGGGGCCAGCCCCAACTTCCTCTGCTTCAGCTCTGCTGGGTCCCTCCTCCCAAAGCCACCTGCTGCCTCCCCACAGCCCTTCCTGGCCGGCTTGGGAGGAGGCTCTGAGGGGAGGTCCCAGCCAGCTTTGAAGGCAGCCCACAGGGCCTGGGGGAGGCTTCCCTGGCTGGGAGGGGTCACCAATACAGCTGAGCAGGAAGGCTGAGCCTGTGGGGGCCTGGGAGCCCAACAGGAAGTGTGCTGGGGGGAGGTGCGGAAGCTGCAAGCAGCCGGCTGGGGGGGATACCCTCACCTGTGAGCCTGGAGCGGGGGTCTGTGGGGCTCCAGCTCTGCCTCCGCCTCCGACAGAGTGGCCAGGACAAAGTGGCCATCTAGTGTGGAATCCTCAACAGTGAAGATGGCCGGTCTGGGTACAGGATGGAGCCCATCAGTCACTCTGGGGGGCTCCAGTCAGTCTCCTGTGCAAACCCCCGGCAAACCCCCCAGGTCGGTGCTGGGCATTACCTGCCGGGAGCATCAAAGTGCACACTCAGGGGCAGGTTCGCTGACTCAGCAAAGCTCAGGAGCCCCTGGCAGGAAGAGGCGGGCAGTGAGGTCTCCCTGGCTGCAAGCCGGTAACACGCAGCGGGCTCTTGAGGGAGGGATAGGGGGATAGGGGCTCACCCGGAATTCCTTGAGGCAGAAGGTGACAGCCACCCCTTCTTGGGCCTGTAGCTCCTGGAAGTCAGCCTCCCCCAGACTCATCTCGGTCACCATGGTTTTGGTGTTGCTGTCTGTGGGGAGCAGAGGACTCCAGGATCCTGGGACCCTGGCCCAGCCCCCCCATCGCAACCAGGCAGCCCTGGGGCCTGACCTCACCTGCCTCATCTTCCTCCTGGTAGCTGCGCAGCACGACCCTGCGCCCCTGAGCAATGCCCAGCGTTACCTCAGACAGTGCCTGGGGAAAGGGCAGCACGGCCTCCCCCAGGACCCTGCAAGGAAGGCGGTGTGTCACTCCCACACGGCGTGCTGCCTGAGCCTGGGGAAGGCAGGCCTGGTATGGCCTGGGCAGCAGAGGGCAACGTCTGGGGGCCAGCATGAGAACGAGCCAGACACTACAGGAGGGCAACTTACCCGCCCTTAGAAGCCGCGATTCATTCCTTCTTTTTAAAGCTTATTTACTTGAAAATCAGTTACAGAGAGGAGAAAAACAGATCTTCCATCTGCTGGTTCACTCCCCAAATGGCCACACCAGCCAGAGGAGGACGGTCCTGAAGCCAGGGGCCAACAGCCTCTTCCAGGTCTCCCATGTGGGTGCAGCAGTACAAGGACTCGGGCCATGCTCCCCTGCCATCACAGGTGCATTAGCAGGGAGCTGGATGGGAAGGGGAGCAGCTAGGAGTCCTGGCACACAGAATGCCAGCACCACAGAAGGAGGCTAAGCCTAAAACTTCTAAGGACACCTCAGCTACAGCGGCTGAACCAGAGCTGAGCCCATCTGAAGCCCACATGGGTGCAGGGTCCCAAGGCCTTGGGCCTTCTTCTGCTTTCCCAGGCCACAAACAAGGAGCTGGATGGAAAGTGGAGCAGCCAGGACACGAACCAGTGCCCATATGGGATCCCAGGCATGCAAGATAAGGATTTAGCCATCCCACCGTTGTGTTGGGATCAGGCTCTGAGACAGCTGTGCGGAGCTGATACTGCGGCAGTTAAGATGCAATCTGCAGCACCAGCATCCCACGCGAGCAGTCCAGCCGTCCCACTCCAGTGCAGCTCCCTAGGTCCCTGCACCCACGTGGGAGACGCCAAGGAAGCTTCTGGGCTGGGTCTGTCTCAGCCTCGGCCGTTGCAGCCATCTGGGGAGTGAGCCAGTGGATGGAAGAGCTCTCTCTCCCAGCCCACCTCCATTACTTATTTACTAGACAATAGGGAGCACGAGCTGGACTCTGCTTCTCTATGGATTTGAAATTAGCTGCCCATGCTAAATAGCTAGTGGGATCAGGCACTGTGGCACAGAAGTCAGACTGCCTACCGTGACAGCGGCATCCCTTGTGAGCAGAGGTTCGTGTCCCGGCTGCCCCACTTCCCTCCAGCTCCCTGCCTGTGGCCTGGGAAAGCAGCAGAGGACGACCCAGAGCCTTGGGCCCCTGCAGCTGCATGGCAGATCCAGAAGAAGCTCCTGGCTTCGGATCTGCTCAGCTCTGGGCTGTTGTGGCCATCTGGGGAGTGAACCAGCAGATGGAAGATCTTTTCTCTGTTGCTCTCCTTTTCTCTGTAAATCTTGACAATAAAAGACAAGTTAATCTTTAAAAAAAAAGAAGAAGAAACAGTGCTGGAATGGAGACTGAGGGGATAGCCTGCCCTCTCCATCGCGCCAGCCCTACAGAGCCCAGGAAAGCGCTGCCGACACCTGAAGGGCCCATCAGGCCCAGGACATGGAGGGGGCGGTGCTGCCAGGACACCAGCCCATGCCAGGGCAGGGGTGGGGAACCACCCAGGCTGCTCCTCGTCTCAGACCTGCTACCTCCAGCAGAGCCCACTTTCCTGCCTTACATGCCCTGTGGAGTGCCACCCTCACGGGCCATCTTTCTGGGCACGACCTTTGGGCCCTTTGGCAGAGCCTGGGCCTCCCTCAGGCGCAACGTGCCTGCAGTTCGAGCAAACCAGAGAGGGGTGGGACCTTCACAGTCGCTTGAGCCAGCAGGAATCTGGACAGCAGTGCTGGGGGGTGGGAGGGCCAGACCTGCGGAGGGGGCAGGGGCCGACCCCCTAGAGACACAGTCAAGTACCTGGGGCTGGGGGCATCCTGAAGGTCCACAGAAAGCCTGCAGCCCAGATGGAGGCGGTACAGTAAACTTAAACCACCATCAGATCCAGGGCTTCAGGGCCTGGCTGCTCCACTTCTGATCCCACTCCCCGCCAAGGTGCCTGGGAAAGCAGCAGGGTCGGTCTAGAAGCTCTGGCCCCTGTGCCCTGTGGGAGACCCAGAAGCTCCTGGGTTTGGCTCAGTCCCCATCGTTGCAACCATTTCGGTGAACCAGCCGATGAGAGCACCCCCAGCCCCAATTCTGCTTTTCCAATAAATCTTTTTTTTTTTTTTTTTTGGTAAGAAAAGGAGGCCCAAGCGGAAGCTGGTCAGTCCCGAGCTCACCGAGCGGGAGCGCAGAGCTTGTAGGGGCATGAGGCTGGGTCGAAGACGGCCTGCAGGGACTCACAGTCCTGGAAGGACAGGTTGTGGGTTTTCCGCACCCCTGCAGGGGCAGAAAGGGTCTCAGCAGCCGTCCCCCAGTCCCACTGCCTCCCACAGGGCGCCCTCCGCCAGCCTGCCGCCCTCGCACCAAACCGGCAGTGCAGCTGGACCACCAGGCGGCTGCTCAGGCCATTGAGGGTGATGCAGCACCTCTCCACCGTCTTCTCCAGCGCCGCCAGCGAGCGGAAGACTGACAGGAAGGACTGCAGGGGGTGAGGGGGACGCATCAGCCAGCCACCCGGCACGCAGGAAGCCCAGCTTGCCCCCTCAGCACCCACCGCCGAGCCCTTCTGGGCAGGGAGTGTCCAGATGCACCTTCATCAGGATCTTACAGCGCAGCAGGCCCTGGCCCGGGGCGGCCGCCTGGTACTGCTGGAAGAAGAGCGGGGCGAACAGAAAGCAGGCATAGGCCGAGCGCGAGGAGTTCACCGTGCGCAGGGAGAGCTGCGGGAGGCAGGACAGCGAGGCGCGGCGCCATCAGTCCGCACTGCTGCCCACTCCCCCACCTGGGACCCTGCCGGCGACCGGCACCTGTGACCCACGAGGCCCCCACCCCAGCTTACCCGCCCTTACAGCTGAGAGGCACAGCCCCTGCCCCTCCGCCTGGCTCTAACTCAGGCCTCCCACCCCTGACCCTGGGCACTACTCCCGGGACCTGCCCACCGCCATCCCGCCTGTGCGAGGAGCCCAAGCCACCCCCCTCACGCCCGCACCCCTCACCCCGTCCTCCAGGGGCTCCAGGTAGAGCTCGTCCCCGATGCGGGACAGGGAGTGGACGGCCTTGCCCAGCACTGCGGAGAGGAGAGCAAGGAGGATCAGCCGCGCGCCTCCGGCGGGCTCGCCTGCCCCGCCGCCAGCTCGGCCCCGACTCACCCTTGACGTTGCCGCCCGTGATCAGGCACCGCATGCTGCCCGCAGCCCGGGACCCCAGGCCTGGCCGGCCCGCCGCGCGTCCCCGAACAGCCGTCGCCCCGCGCTTCCCGCGCCCGCCCCCCGCCAGCACTGCCCCCGCCTCCTCATTGGCCAACGCGGGGCGCCTCCGTCACGTGAGAAAACGCTCGTCGGCGCCGCCGTCACGTGACGCGGCCGTGGCTGGGGGCCGGCTCCGCCACGTGACCCGAAGGCACCCCGGGCGGGCAGATGGGACGGGGGCAGACGAGGAGGGGCGCTAGCTGGCAGAGGACCCCCGATTCTATAAGGCTGGGGGCCTCCTCTGGAGGGAGTTGCTGGCGCCTGGTTCCCTAGGTGCAGCAGGCCGGCCCTGGGCGCCGTGCCCTCCCGCCACCCTCTGCCTCTGATGGGGGGCGTCCCTCCCATGTCGCCCAGGTCTGTCTGGCCAAGCCCTCGCCCTGGCTGGGCCCTAACGAGGCTCACAATTCACCAGCCTCGCGTGGCTGGGGACCGTGCTGGTGGTTATAGCCTTGTGGTTCGCACAAGGCCTGACCCTCCGTGGGTGACCAGTAAGTCAGCAGGAATGAAGTTCATGAACGTGTTGAGGACTGTCGGGAGAGGAACAGGTGGCCTGCAGGTGGCCCCTGCTCCCGGCACACACAGGGCAGCCCTCTCCTTCCTCCTGGCCTGGTGCCCAGGCGGTGCAGCTTCACATCCATCCCCCGGCCCTGGCTGTGTGCTCTGTGTCACACAAGGAATGGGGGTGTTGGAGCTACTGCTTCGGAGTCCCTCCCTGCTGTGCCAGGGACCCTGGTCTGCTCCTCTGGCTGGGACTGCTCCAGTCCTGGGGAGAGGTGCTTGGCTGCAGGGGAGGACGATCCCTTGGCATTGGGCCAGGCGTGGGTCCAGGGGTCCCCAAGAGAGGCCTGAAGGTGACTAGAGCAAAAGAGGTGGGTGTGTGTGTGCCTGGTGGGGATGCAAGGCACAGGAGAGGTCTTCCCGATGACTAGTCAGGTGGCAAGGTGCCCAAAGTGTGGATGGTGGTTGGTGCCTGGTATGGTGCCATGGCAGGGAAGTCTCCTTGGCAGGGGCAATGGCTAGAGGCCAGCCCAGAGAGGGAGACAGTGTTGAGGGAGAAGTGTTGCTGCTCAGAACAGCGCAGCAGGTAGGCTGCACTGGGACGTGGGCATGGAAGCCAGTGCCAAAGGAAGTGGGTGTGCTGTGCAACCGGCTGGGGCAGCGCCGGGTGGCAGGACACGGCCAACTCCAAGGCCAAGAGCAGAAGCTCAGCTGGCCATTGGAGGCAGCTGCAGGCCCGGCTCCTGAGCACACCTTTGAGAAGGGCTGGGTTATGGAGACCACGCCACTGGGCACACCTGGACAGGGCGTCGGGGTGGGTTTCCTGGGATTGGGAACAGGTGGAGTGAGGCAGGGGGACTGAATGGACACTTGTTAAGGAGCTGTGGGTGAGAATGTGCCAGGCACCGTTTTGTCTCCCCAGTGTGGCCATGTGGCCCTCTCAGGCGGGTTCCCAGGCGGCCTCATGTCCTCTGAGCTATGCCAGGTGTGGGGACATAGGAGTACGGCTTGGGAATTTATTCTGGTTTGTCCTGCCCTAGTCTGTGCACACACAGAGGAAATGGTACCCTAGGCTGACTTGGTGCGTGGGGAGGGGGCACTCAGCAGGCCAGGGGGCTGAGCCTGTGAAGGTGTGTGCCATGCCAGGTGCGCGCCATGCCAGGTGAGCACCCTAGCCCCTCTGCCCTCACCAGCACATGGCACGGGCTGGGGAAGTCTGTGTCAGTGACACAAGACCTGAACCCAGGATTGTTTGTCACGACCAGGACCAGGTTCCTGGGTGCCAGCTGCTTTCTGAAACCGGGCTCCATCGCCAAGGGCTCGTGGGAAAGTGGACAGGCTGTGAGCTGGGGTCAGGTATAGAGCCCACGGGCACAGTGGCGCCTTGTCCCTGCCCCTCCCCAGCTGCACAGGCCCAGAACAGCCAGCCCTGGAGGGAGCAGACAGACGAGGCAGCTTGTAGGGCACCCGCTCACGAGGCTGGCATGGGCTGCTGGGCACCGCTGAGGGCCCAGGGTGTCCCGGGCTCCGGGATTGGCTGCGTGGAGAGCTGGGCTGGAGTCTGTTACAGCTGGCGGGGTGGGGAAGGGGGGATGCTGAGGCTTGTTCGCCACAACCTGGCCCACGGGTGTTACAGGCCCCTTGGAGCGCGCACGAGGTAAGTTCAGGGCGAATCAAAGGCAGTGTGCCGTACCCAGCGGGGGGCCCGATGGAACTCATTACCCCAAGATGTGGTCTTGGCTGGAAATATAAATAGCTTCACAAAAGGTTTAGATAAATCCATGGATGACAGCTCCATTCATGGGTTAGGAGGAGGGGGCTACTCGGGCCTGCCGTCTCCTGGGGAGCCATTGGGAGGCGACCGGGCTCTGAGAGACCACCCCTCAGGGCCCGGGTGGGAGGCAGTTTCTGGTGGCAGGGAGCCCCTGGCCCTTTCCCACCACCTGCCCAGGGGGCGCCACGGGAGCCGCTCCGTCCGCTCAGCCCGCTCAGCGGGGTCAGCGCATCCTGGCGGGCTGTCCCCTGAGGGACCGGCAGAGGGAGACAGACACCACATCCAGCCGCAGCTCCCAGGCCAGCGGGCGGGCTGGTACGCCTCAAATAGATTCAGGGAGCCCCGAGGGGGCCGCATAGTACCTGGGCTAGGCTGATCTGGGCTCCCTGCTGGAGGAGGGGCAGGAGGAGAACTGGGAAGGGGCTACTGACCAAGAACAGGGTAACCAGAGCCTGGCTGCCCGCTCCTAGGAGACCTGGCGTGACTCCATGTCTCAATTTCTCTGCAGTGAAGGGTGGTCCATATGGAGTTGGCAATACTTGCCCATGGTGCCAGGCGTTGGGGTACCTAGCATACTGTGGCTAGATCCTCCATAGGAGCACCAGAGGTTGACACATCCCCTAGGGTGCCAAGGCTCTGGCCTTTCGGGTCCCTCGGAGTCCCCTGCTGGGCTAGTGCAGCAGGTTGCTGGCTCTTTTGAAGTCACTTTGCCCTGAACTCCCTTACTCCCAGCCCTGAGGCCCTGGCAGGAAGCAGGGTGCCAGGTGCCTGCCTGGGTCCACAGTGTTGGACCCCACAAGTCCGAGTGTCAGCCCCTCAGCTTTGCACCCATGTGGCTATGTCATCTTTCAGCTTCTCCCTTCTCTCCTGGTCGGTCCCTGCCCGTCCTGCTGTGACCTCCTCCTTTTTGCACCATCTCAGGTCCCCACTCCAGTGACTTCGGTCTGGTGGTCAACACTGAAGCCGCACCGTGGACAGAGTATCTGTACAGATCCCGAGGGGAGGTCTGCTGTCCCTGGCTCCACTCTGGAGGGAATGCAGCCATGGAGCCAAGCAGGGAAGTGAGGGGCCCGGGGTCACATGGCTGGTCCCACAGCAGGAGGGCAGCAGCACTGACCTCAGTGGAGCTGGGTGTCTGCCCTCCAGCCCCCCGAGGTGCCTGAGGGAGGGGTGCGGCCATGAGTCAGCAGAGCAGGATAAGGATCTCCCAGTCCAGGGAGAGGTAACCCCAAGCCTGTGCCAGGGGAGACGGAGTCACAGGCCCGCGGCACGGGTGGGTCGGGGCAGCGGAACAGCCTGGGAGGAGGGGAGCCCTGGGGCGCAGGGGAGGGGGCTGTTCTTGCCTTCTTTACACACCAGGCACCCAGACGCCCTGGCAGGTGGGGAGACGGCGCCCCGGGCATGGGGGTGGTGGGGTGGGGCAGGTGCAAGGGCCTGGCTCCTCCTGCCTCCCCTGCTCTGGCTCGTAGGCTGGGGTGGGGTGTCCTCAGGGAGGCCAGAGCGAGGCCAGGTATGGGCTGGGCAGAGGTAAGAGAGGCCTGTGCTCCGGGGTTTCCGCTGGCATCAGGGCCAGCTCCGGGTGAGGCCCGGCCCTGGAGCAGAGGAAGTGCTCGGCTGCCACCTCTCCTGCCTGCTGGCTCCAGCGTGTGCACACAGGCAGGATGGGGGGGGGACGGTCCTAGAGATCTGGGGCTCCTGAGCCTACAGCACCAGCACCCTGGCCCTGTCAGCTGGTGTCCATGGTGGGTACTGGGCAGGATCTTGCAGGCACACAAGAACACTGTGTAAGTCTCAGGGAACATCTACCTGGGTGACCTGAAGAGACCAACCGTGCCAGGCAAGGGAAAGGCACCCAGCCCCTCTCCTCCAGGGCCCGTGCCCCTGGATGGTTCCAAGGGAATCTGGCTGAAGCTGGCCACTGGCTTCCCATCCTGGCTCTCCCACTCCCAGGACGCAGGAATCTGTCTCAAGGGGTTCGGTGTGCTCCTGTACAAACAAGGCCGAGCTGGCTCCTGCCACCCAGAGCCTCGGGAAGTTACAGGAAGGCCCGTTGTCAGCCTGCAATGCACTGGAGCAGTGTTCACAGCTCACATTAGGTCTGGCCACGCCCGGTGCCGTGGCCCCTCATGGCTCCTCTCTGCAGTGTCCCTGTCCCTGACGTCAGGCATGCCAGAGGGACCGACTGGGAAAGGTCCCTGTTCACCTCTCTGAGCCCTCTGCCGGGAGGAGACCACTATCCTGCAGTTATGGGGACATGGTATCCTTGGGACCCCATGGCTGTCTTTCCTGGGTCAGGCAGCAAACTGTGGATAGGTGGCAAGCACAGTGTGGGGCATTTACCAGCCCTGGAGCCAACACTGTCTGCCCCAGCCATGGCTCTTGGGGCCTTGAGAGCCTGGAAGGTCAGAGAGCCAGCCAGCTGGCAAACCAGCCTTCCCCTCAGTGCCCACAGCGCAGGAGGAAGCAGGCAGAGAGGGGACAGGCTGGTCCCGGGCCACGCTGGTCACCTGGAACTGGGCAGCAGGCTCCTATGTGGCCTCAGCCAGCTCCTGGCGGCCCTGTGGGCCAAGCCGGTGCTGTTCTTGTGGTCTGCCCTAACGGCGCACCCCTTCAGGGCTGTTGTCCTATTCCTAACTCTGGACACACTTGCTACCACCTACAGCTGGGCTTGGTCAGAGTGAGTGGCCAAGACTGCCAAGTTTTTTTTT